GGCTTCAGAGAGCTCCCACGCAGCCTCGTCCAAGTGCATTCTCGCCCTGGCCAGGATGTCCCCCTCCTTCCCTTAGGTCTGGCACGTCCCTCTACAGGGGGAATGTTCAAAATAGTAAAAAAATAGTCTGGGGACGATTTTTTGACTATTTATGAGTATTTTGGGGGTATTTCTTCAGTATTTTGCTATTTTTCGCGACACGCCCGACTTAATCCTTCCCTTTCAACACGTCACACGGGATTCCATGGGCCCCCATTGTGGCCGCGCACATGCCTCGGGCCATGATTTAGGGCTCCCCCATCGTGGGCGCCCCCGCGAGGTGCGTGCGCAGTGTTATCTATGTTGTCCCATCATACTGAAGGACCACATCCAAAAAATCATTTCGAGCAGCCAGAAAAGTGTCGAAACAGTGTCGAAACAGTGTCGGACGAGTGTCCCCCAGGGCCCGACACGTACAAACAATCGAGGTCAAGTTTCGGTTTTTCTCTGGTGCTCCAAATTCTTTCTGGTGGTCAAGGCTAAAGTAGGTTGGAACATCATAAGCGCAGTGGTGGGTATACCTCGCCAGCGCGTGCGCGCAGGGGAGCGCCTGGGCTGCCCCCTCTTCGCGGGGTCTGGCATCTGTCCAGGGCCCCGGCCGCCAGTGGCGGAGGGTGCCGACGACGACACCGACAGCCCCGACGCCGCCGACCTTTCTTTTCTTCGTTTCTCGGGAGGCTTCTGGTGTACACCCTCGTGACCACGGCCAGATTCGCTTCGAAATTCCTGGGGAAGATGCACGGGCTGAGTTTTGAAGGAAGGCGACGACACTGACGACTGCTTTCGGGATGTGTTCACAGGTTTCCGGAGGTTTTCGGATTATTCCAGAGACTCCGAAAGTAATGATGGAGGCGTTAACAGGCTCCTGGAGGCTGCCAGAAGTTGCTTCCCCCCGCCCCCTCCTTCGTTCGCTTCCCCCGTTCTCCCGTTCTTCCCCCTCGTCGCATCGACGACGCCTACGACGACGAGCACAACGACGACTGACGACGACAACGGACAACGACGGCGACGACGACGACGACGACGACGCCGACTGCCCGCCCCCAGTCTGAAAGAACTCCTGGAGCAGCAGCAGATCGCCTGCGGCCTTCCGGCGGCGAGCGCCGACGCGGCCGCACAGGAGAAGCTGTGTGGGGGAGAGGTGGTGGCGATCGGCATTGCAGCAGTCTGTAGGGTGGTGGCGATTGGCATTGCAGCAGTCCTGCAGGGGGTCACGATCTCGAGCGCGAGCCCTCATCACCCCGAAGCTGAGAGCACGCGCCTGGCAGCCGGCGCGGAAGGACGAGGATCAGAGTAAGTCCAATAGTTATGCATCTGGGATGTTGCAGTACATTTAAGTCGGGAATGGCCCTCTATTGGAAGAAATTCCAAAACTAGTCAACAAATAGTTTGGGGACGATTTTTTGATTGTTTTGTCTGCTCTGTGTTTTTATATGTTTGGAGAATGTTAGATTTTTCCTCCCAAATCCGCCTGTAGGGGGACACGCTCGACCTGACAGTGCATCACCCCGGCCCACGTCCCCTCCTAGTCGCAATGTCCTGCAGGGCTTCTGTGGCACTGCCAGGAGCGTTCCTTCTTGGCAGACCAGCACACCGTGGGCCTGCCACTCGGGCGATAGCCCCGTCCTGAAGCGGAAAGGCCTTTGCATTCCTTCGGCGCGGAAGCAGGAATGCGACAACGTGTGATCGGGCACCACACATATCGACGACATGTCCAGCGAGATCCCCGTTGTGAAACAGATCCACACCCACATCCTTGTAACTGTTGCAGAATGTCACAAGTATGTTCATGAATTTCGAGGAAGTCTCAAGCGAGAGCCCCAGATTAAAGAGGAACCGCACTTCATCCGCACAGCTGCTATATGGACTGAAGTTTCTGGTGAATGAGGAAAACTCAAGCGACACCCCTATGTTAAAAAGGTATCGTGCTCCATCCTTGTTACTGTCGCAAGTTTTGTGAGTCTTCAGAGTCATAAGTGACGACATCGACCGTTCATACTTACCGACACGTCTGGAGGTGCGACAGGAAGGAGTTCACTATACGCAAAGCATGGTGGTGGAGGAGGAGGGGGAGGAGGAGGAGGATGCGGGACCAGTTGCCAGTTGTGGCTCTAGCCAGCAGGCGTGCTTGCGGCAGGCTGAGCGGCACATATCTAAGCCAGCGGCACGTGCCCGCAGCAGCAGCATGCCCGCAAGTCTTGGCCAATGTTTGCAGCGCGTGTCCCGCTTCTGGGAAAACAGCATGAGCCACAAACGAGGGCCTCACCTTCGCGTCTTGCGCCGCCAAAGTCAATGAGTTCGTCTCGGACAAGAGCGCGAGAACCGCGGATCACACACACACACACACACGCACATCTATCTATATCTCTTCTATACATGTCCACACGCACACGCATACAATCATACAGACATGCATACATACATGCATACATGCATGCGTACATATACACATTCATACATACATACATATATATATATGTATATATACATACATACATACATACATACATACATACATACATACATACATGTATACATATATATATATATATTATATATATATATATATATATATACATACATGTATATCCACATGCATGCATGCATACATGCATACATATATACATACATTCATGCACAGACAGACAGACAGACAGGCCGGCAGACAGACAGACACACGTCACCCCACCCAGGGGCCCACCCACCTCGATGACATCGGGCCCGCTTTTTTGCACCCCCCCCCGCGGGGGTCTCCAAGATGGCTCAAATGCGCTCGAAGACAGCAGGACGTGGGGGTGGCGGTGGGGGTGGGTTGGGGTTTGGGGTGCAGGTGGGGTGGTGGATGAGGGTGGGTGTGGGTGGTTGGGGGTGTGGGTGGTTGGGGGTGTGGGTGGGTAGCCGTTGCTGTGGCTGTGGGCGCGGGCGCGGGCACGGGCGCGTGTGCGAGTGCGTGTGCGAGGGTATAAACTTTCCAGCCGCCCAGGGACAGGCGCCCCCGACAGCGAAAAAGTGTATTTTATACCGTTCTTCGCCCGTTAAGTGTTTGTGTGAGTGTGCATGTGCGTGCGCGTGTGTGTGGGTGTGCTTGCGTGCGCGTGTGCGTGTGCTTGTGCGTGTGCGTGTGCGTGTCCGCGCGTGTGTGTGTGTGTGTATGTGCGTGCGTGCGTGCGTGCGTGCGTGCGTGCGTGCGTGCGTGCGTGCGTGTGTGCATGCGTGTGCGTGTGCGTGTGCGTGTGCGTGTGCGTGTGCGTGTGCGTGTGCGTGTGCGTGTGCGTGTGCGTGTGTGTGTGTGTGTGTGTCTGTGTGTCTGTGTGTCGGTGTGTCTGTGTGTCTGTGTGTCTGTGTTTCTGTGTGTCTGTGTCTGTGTGCGTGTCTGGTCGGTTCTGTTGCGTGCGTCGTGCGCGCGGAGCGGGTGCGCGTGGTGCGGTTCGCGTGCGCGTGTGGCGTGCGCGTGCGCGGTGCGCGTGCGCGTGCGCGTGTGCGTGTGCGTGTGCGTGTGCGTGTGCGTGTGCGTGTGCGTGTGCCCGTGTGCGTGTGCGCGTGTGCGTGTGCGTGTGCGCGTGCGCGTGCGCGTGTGCGGCGTGTGTGCGTGTGTACGTGTGTGCGTGCGTGCGTGTATGCGTGTGTGCGTGGGTGCGTGGGTGCGTGGGTGCGTGGGTGCGTGAGTGAGTGGGTACGTGGGTACGTGGGTGCGTGGGTGCGTGGGTGCGTGGTTGCGTGGTTGCGTGGGTGTGTGTGTGTGTGCGTGTGTGCGTGTGTGCGTGTGTGCGTGTGTGGGTGTGTGGGTGTGTGGGCGTGTGGGCGTGTGTGGGTGCGTGTGTGTTGCGTGTGCGGTGTGTGTGTGTGGTGTTTGTGTGTGTGTGTGCGTGTGTCGTGTGTGCGTGGTGCGTGGGTGCGTGGGTGCGTGGGTGCGTGGTGTGGGTGGTGTGTGTGTGTGTGTTGTTGTTGGGTGTGTGTGTGTGTGGGTGTGTGGGTGGCGGGTGTGCGGGTGTGGTGGGTGTGTGGTGTGGGTGTGGGTGTTTGGGTGTGTGGTGTGTGGTTGTGTGGTGGTTTGGGTTTGGGTGTGTGTGGTGAGGTGTGTGTGTGTTGGTGTGTGGCGGGTGTCGGGTGGAGCGGGTGGGCGGGGTGGGTGCGGGTGTGCGGGCGTGCGGGCGTGCGGGCGTGCGGGCGTGCGCGCGTGTGCGCGTGTGATCGTGTGATCGTGTGCGCGTGTGCCCGTGTGCGCGTGTGCGCGGGTGCGCGGCTGCGCGGCTGCGCGTGTGCGCGTGTGCGCGTGTGCGCGTGTGCGTGCGTGCGCGTGTGTGCGTGTGTGCGTGTGTGCGTGTGTGCGTGTGTGCGTGTGTGCGTGTGTGCGTGTGTGTGCGTGGGTGCGTGGGTGCGTGGGTGCGTGGGTGTGGGTGGGTGTGTGTGTGTGGGTGTGTGGGTGTGTGGGTGTGTGGGTGTGTGGTCGTGCGGGTGTGTGGGTGTGTGGGTGTGCGGGTGTGCGGGTGTGTTGGTGTGTGGGTGTGTGTGTGTGTGCGTGTGTGCGTGTGCGGGTGGTGCGTGCGTGCGCGTGTGTGCGTGTGTGCGTGTGTGCGTGTGTGCGTGTGTGCGTGTGTGCGTGTTGTGCGTGGTGCCGTGGGTGCGTGGGTGCGTGGGTGTGGGTGGGTGTGTGTGTGTGGGTGTGTGGGTGTGTGGGTGTGTGGGTGTGTGGTCGTGCGGGTGTGTGGGTGTGTGGGTGTGCGGGTGTGCGGGTGTGTTGGTGTGTGGGTGTGTGGGTGTGCGTGTGTGCGTGTGTGCGGGTGTGCGGGTGTGCGGGTGTGCGCGCGTGCGGGTGTGCGGGTGTGCGGGTGTGCGGGTGTGCGGGTGTGCGGGTGTGCGGGTGTGCGGGTGTGCAGTTGTGCGGGTGTGCGGGTGTGCGGGTGTGTGGGTGTGTGGGTGTGCGGGTGCGCGCTCGCGTGCGCGTGCGTGTGCGTGCGTTTGGCGTTCGCGCGCGCATCGCTTGGCCCCGCCCCTGCCCAGGACGCCGCGGCGGAGCCCACCATGCGGCGGGCTCGGGCGCGGAGTTTCGGGGTGGGCAGGCAGCCCGCCTTTTTGGGGTGGCGCTGGAGGATCAAGGTGCGGAGGACCGGTCGGTCGAAGTTTGGCCGATGAGGAAGGGGATGGCATGCGCTGTTCCGTCCTCGGTGACGCCTATCCCAGGAAGGCCGCAAGGTCTGTTCTCTGACGTGCCACCGCAGGGGCGGACATTTTCCAGCCGCCCGGGGACAGGCGTCCCCGACGGTGGAAGATACAACGTTGTACCGTTTTTCGTCCGCCAGAGGTTGGTTCCGCTTTCTGCCGGGGCCCATTGCGACAATTTGCTTATGGGTGCCCCCGATTGGCCCCACGCTGGTGCGGACTGCCACTGCCTCGCCGCCGACAAAAACATGTGGGTCCACTGCTGGCCCGGGGGCCCTCAGAAATCCACCTAGGGCGAGACTCTGCTTAGGATAAGCCCCAAGAGGCGTGCGGAGACGGCCTTGTTGAGCGTAGTTCAGCCGCCGCCGTTGTCGCGGATCGGGGGTCGAACTTCGACGATCCAAGTGTTTGAAATCGGGCTTGCCCCGCTACAGGAGGAATATTCAAAAACAGTTAACACAAATACTCAGGAGACGATGTTTTGAGTATGTCTGAATATTGTTGGCGTACTTTCTCATTATTTCTAATTTCCCGTTAAAAAATCCCCTGAAGGAGGACATGCCCGACTTAATTCAAGAGGGATAAAAGCACACAGACACAATTAATCGTCGATTCCCCAGAAATTATTGGAAAATGGAAGAAAAAATGGGAAGTGGGGGGAAGACGAAAACCCATAATATATGAGAAATGATGGGGAATCCTTTTTTTGTATCTATTTCTCTGTGTGTCCCAGAGCCCCTTCTTTATTCCAGGGTTCTGTACAGCTTTCCCCTCCGCCGGTGGCCGGCGAGTCCAGATCTCGAGCCGGTGGCCCGTGGGCTCCCGTGCGGTCTCCCGCGGGGCCTCCCTCCCGCGTGCTCCCGTGCGCGGTACTCCCGCGTGGCCGCCCGTGTGGCCTCGCGCACGGCCTCTCGCAGGGGCCCCAGGGCGCCCTCGAGGGCGCGAAATCGTTCGCGCTGCGCACTTCGCGGTTCGGCTCCGATTCCTCTGTTCTCCTCTTCTCCCCTCGGAGGCGGCGCGAGAGCGCGAAGTTATTCGCACTTCGCGCTTCGCGCAGCGCGAAGCGCGAAGTTGGGTGCCCTGGGGGCCTATCGCATGGGCCTCCCGTGTGTCAAGCAGTGGCGAAGCGTCCTGGCTCGCCTATGGCCCTGCCAAACAATGTTCTAAGAACCTCGTGTGATTTCCACGGAATGTTATTAGAAAATGTCTGGCGGAGCCTGTCTTGTTTTATCACATCGGGTTCATGTTCTAAGAACACTGTTTTTGTTGTTAGAATTTTTGGGGTTCGAAGAACATCTCGTGGTAGGACTATAGGAATGCCGGGACGGTCGGTCCCTGCTCAAGTGGTCTCGCGTGCGGTTTCCTTCTAGTGGTTTCTTGTGTGGTCTACCATGTGGTCTCTCCCGCTCCGTACTCTCCAGGGTACCCTCCACCTTGCCACTCGCTCTCTCTAGTGCTCTCAGTGCTGGTCTCGCTCGTACTCTGAAGGCCTGTCGAAGGCATTACGTTGTCAAGGATGTAGCCGTTCAGGTGCTTTCCCCGAGCCTCTGGGGGTGGGGGGCTTTGCGCCACGGCCAGATTCCCTGTCAGAAGCTTGACCAAGAGGCACCCCGGGAGAGGTCCGGGAGCCAGGGTCGCCCCGAGAGAAGAGACTCCCTGGAGGAGAGGCGCTTCGTGGCGGGCCGACAGTTGCCAGGCCCCTGCAAGTGTTGTCCGCGGCGCGGCTACACTGGGGGAGCGGGCAAATGGCATGAACAGAACAACTCGGAGGTCTGCGCGTATGTTTCTCGGATCCGCGGAGCGCGCCAGGGGCGGTGCCGGAGGCGCCGCTAGGGGGCCCCAACGCGGATCCAAGAGCTCCGCGCGGACCTCGGAGTTTTTGTGCTTATGTCAGTGTTCGTTCCCCTCTTTCATTGAGCTGACTTCGCCAGACCCGTTTCATCATGCGAGGTCGCAAAACGCAGCGCCAGCATTGCGCCAAAGTGCTCCGCGGGCCGCGCGGAGCCCAGCTGCAGGCTTCAGAGGCAGCCCGTCGATGTCCGAGGCAGCGCGCGGGAATGGGGATTTTGCCATGGCCGATGGTCCTGCGCCATGTTCTAGGCCTCCCAGATGGGTCGGGGGTGGACAGAACCCCCAACAGTGACACGTCGATTGGTGAATTGTCTGTTTTCGGTTCTCGAGAGGGCGCCGTGGCCGTTATTTTTCAGGCTTGCGCCCGCCAGGTTTGGGCCTCAGGTCGTTTTCACTAAACCACGTTTTACTAAAGGGGGGTCTGTCCACCCCCGAATGGGGTCGGAGTAGACGGGGTCGGGTGATCGCGCCGTATCGCCGATGCATCGCCGATGCGGCTCGATGTGGAGCCCGACTTTCCCCACTCCGACGTCGCCGATGCATCGCCGACGTCGCCGGTGCATCACCGATGCATTACCGATGCATCGCCGATGCATCGCCGATGTATCGGCGATGCGGCGGGATCCTCCGACCCCATCTACTCGGACCCCATCTAGGAGGCCACTACATGTGAAGTTCCAGGCTCCTCCCCTTCCCTCTGCGCCCGTCTGCGCAGCGCGTGTGAGGAAGGTGGCTCCTGTGCAGAAGTTGGGAAGGTGGCTCCTGTGCAAAAGTTCTCCGCCAAGAACCTCTGCAGAAGCCCTGCCCAGTTGCCAATTTCGGTCCCCGCGCCATCACCAAGTGCCAGCTTGAAGCCTTGCAGCGGCTGTGTAAAGGCCTGCCGCCAACCGAGATCGTTTTCAGCTGGGCAGAGGCCTGCACGTCTTCCTGTCAGATCGAAGTGTTTCTGACTTTGGTGTTTGGGCTGCAGCGGTGCACTGGGCGAACAAAACCTTTCCCTGTCGCGCCCGTTTTCTCTTCCTCCTCGTCCTCCTCCCTCTCCTCCTTCGCCTGCTCCGCCTCCCCCTCCTCTCCTTCCGTCTTCCTCTTCCTCCCTTTTCTCCCCCGTCCCACCCCCAGTTTGTCCTGCTCCCCTATCCAATCCCATCCTCCCGCCCTGTGTTCCTGAACCCGTGAACTCCCCAAAACCCACCCGAACACGATTTCAAAGTTGGAGAGGAAGAATAAGGAGGAGGAGGAGGAGGAGGAGGAGGAGGAGGAGGAGGAGGAGGGACGAGGATGAAGGAGGCGGGACGTGTCTTTTTCCTCCTCCTCCTCCGCCCAGTCGAACGGTAGTTCTTCGCATTGTCTTTGCCTCACTCGTAGGATCATTTTCCGCAGCCGTTTTATTTCGGGGGCACGGTAGGTTAAACGACCGTGCCCGTGATATGCACGTGTTTCTGCATCGTGGTCTTCCGCGCATTGAGCACTGATCCCCGAACACGTTGCACCGTTCACTTCTAGTTGGTCGCGGAGCCTCGGCTCCCTTCCACTCTCGCCGCCTTGCTTCGATGGCGAGGGTTCCACGACGTCGCCGTGCTGTACAGTCTGGACAAGTGCGATTTCATCACGTTCACCGTGCCACTCCCCAGCTGCAATTTCGCGTTCGGCCGTGTTGTCCGTGCTCGCATGCTTTTTACCCGTTCGACGCGGCAAGCGACGGGTTTGTAAGGATTGTCAGGGCAATGCCCGCCAAGCCGCCTAGTGCGATCACGGGGGAAACGCACAATTACCACCACCAGGACATCAACGCAAAGGACCGCACCCCCGGCCAGCATTCTCTTCCCTCGGGTGCGTTCGAACAGCTTTCGAGATGTTCGGGGTTCTCTCGTCTTCACGGCACTCGCCCGCGGGCCCCGATTTATGCGCAACTGTGTTGCGGAATCCGAAGCCCGAAGGGGATGAGGCAAAGGACGCGTCGCCCGCATCGCATCCGAATGTGGGTGCAGCCGACCATGTCAAGCAGTCATTCGATCCGACGTTGACATCGTCGGCGTCGGCAAAGCGCCCCGAGCTTTCCGCAACGATGTCGTGGAAGCCGGGGGGGGCGCGCGCAGGCAACACCGATGATACAAAGGAGGGTCGGGCGACTGTGTTGCCTTCTTTGCGGGCGATTTTTACACGAGCTTGTGGCGATATGTTGACGGTTCTCCGGGACATGACCCTCAACGGCACCTGCGTGATCATTATTTCTTGGCAGACCTGGATCTCGATGCGCACTCCGTTGGACTGTCGCACAGTTGGCAGTGCGCAGCGCAGCGACGATGCGACTCCAGACGAGCTCTTGCGCCAATGCGCGGCGGAGTGCTCCGAGCGCAGCCAGCACGTCAATCGCGCGACACAAGAACATACCCAATGCGCTGGCGAGGAGGAGCACGCCGGGGACAGGCGCCCACGACGGCCCCGAGGATCGCGATCATTATGTCGCCGCCGCCGGGCGCCAGGGCCGTCGCGCCCCGTCGGCACCTGGAGGGGCCCCACTCTGGGCGCCATCGGAGCGGGCATAGTCGTTGCCATCAGTTGCGCGCCTGCACGGACGCGGGCGGCGATGTCAGCGGCAACGCGCGACACTTTCGCGCCCAGGGGGCCGAGCAGCAGCCCCGCGCACCATTCCAGCGCTGGGCGCGGGAGGTAATTCTATTGGCAGCGGCGGGCCCAGGCCTCAACGAGTTTCGCCAGGCGGCTTTCATCTCGCCCCGCATGACTGGCATCTCTCGCGATTGCGCGGGCAAGTGGCCGCGGCTGTCCTCATCCACAGTGGGCGCGTCAACGGCGACCCAGCGCCGCCCGCGGCCGACCCCGCGCGCAGCTCGGCCGAACGGCGGGGCCAGCATGGAGGAGGGGCGTGCGCAGGCGGCATTGGCGCCGATGGTCTTCAACCGATTGCCGCAGGGGCGCGTCGACAACCTTCTCGCCAGGTTGGACGTCCTCCGCAACAGGGCGCGGCGCCGAGCGATTCTCGCGGGCGCGATCGGGGCCAGGGCGCCTACGGCACCGGGGCCGGATCGAG